TGTGAGAGCTCTCACTTCTTTAAATATAAACTTTAATGAACAGTGTTAACTTGATTGTTAAAATGTGTTCTCTCTCTTAAATTTGTATTTGTAGATTTCTAATGAGGCTGAATATTTTTTTCATTGTTTACAACCAGTTGTATCATAAGTCTGGTCTGTTAATATGTAAGCATATCTCCAAGTAGAAGATTGGGGTTGTTAAGAAAGATTTATTGAGAGAGTGTGTGTGATTGATTATAGAAGAAAGATTGTGGGTACAGGAAACCAATTAGAAGCCTGTTAAAGAAGTCCAGGGAGAAAATGAGGCTTTAATCTTAGAATCCTGTCAACTGGAATAGATAAGAGGATAGATTTAAAAGACATAAGCGTACAGAAATCAGAATAAAAGAAAGAGAAAACCTAAAATACTTGAGGGTATCCATGTAACTTAAAAGGCATTCTGTATTTTACTGCAAGATAACTGAGCTGTTAGATAGCTATATCTAATTCAAACCCGAGTTATAAAAGAATGAAATAATTTCCTGGATGACATGCCCCAGAGAAAGCTGCAGAGGAAATGAAGCAATGCGGCCACCTTGTGATGCGGACTCATTTCTGGTTCCCAGTTGACCACCACTTCCTGTGGAAGGCCAGGAGACAGGCCAGGCGGAGGGCTGAGAAGGCGGAGGCCGGAGAACTCAACACCCACATGTCAGATCATGTGCTTAATGTCTGCACATGAGTTCTACCATTTGATCCTTGTACTAATTCTGCGGGATAAATCACTCGCATCTCCATCGTATTGATGGGAAGACTGAATTCAGAGAGGGAAAGTAGTTTCTTCCAAATCACACCGCCCTAAATGGCAGAGCTGGGTTTTCCCAGGAATCTGACTCGAGCCTACATAATCTTTCTGTCGGTCACTACATCTCTTCATGGGGAAGAATTCCCCACCGTATCCCAGCATACAACTGTTTCAAAGCAGCAGCAAAAAATGAAGCAATTATGTTTGTCTTGAGAAAGGAAAGTCTAGGGGAGGGTATCCATTTATTTATACAGTCTTATGAAATGTCACAGGTAGCTACTGTCAAACGACTGGACAAGTCATAGGGCTACCTTAGCTTCCTTTCTTTTTTTTTTTTTTCTTTCTTTCTCTTTTTTTAATCTAGCACCTACAGTAATTTGGCATTACAGACCTCTAAGTTTTCTCACTTAAATTAAGCTGCTCCTTTAGTTACTCTTTGAAAACTATTTTCCCCCAAGTTACCTGATGTGAAATGTATTGTTCCCGAAGTTGTTTTGCAGAATTCCACACAATCTTTGCATGTACCAATACTTTAGCTTTGTCAATCCACTTCAAAATGAATTCAAGCAGTTCATTGTATTCTTTTAAATGTGATGTTGCCTAAAAAAATCATTAACATTCAGATAACAAATGAAACCTCTATTTCTTGAATTTTAAATCAGTTTTCTGTCTCTTTTTGGATACAATAGTCCTATAGTTGTCAACGTAAGAAATGTCCAAACCCATAGATAATTTTTATTAGTTTATTTGAGGTAACCGATGACCTATAGCAGGGAGCAAGATCTCACAGAATAACACCTTTGCAGCTTCTTTTAAAAATTAAGGTGGGTATGTAAGGAAGACTGGAGAAGATTAGAAGGTGGTGATTGGATTACAGGGTAGTTAACAAGATTATATGCTCTCTTGGTTAGGGTTTATTTTAAAGGTGTGCTATTCTAGAAGCACAAGAACAGTGGACAGGGAGGGCTGGCTTAAAACCTTTCACTAAAGAAGTTATAGGCCTGGGGTGGGACTCCCCACCATGACCTGCCCAGTTAGTAACTTACAATTGGCACCCAGTGAGGTCACTTTGCATAGGAATCCTCCCCCCTTTTTCAGTTTACAAAAGGTATCATGAAAAAGCATGTCCTTGTTGAAAATATTGCAAGGACTTCCCAGTGACTTTAGGGTAAAGTCCAAGTACTTCATATGCTTGAATAATCTGTCTTTAAAGAAAGTTCTCTCTTCTTATCTCTTGTTCATCTATCTAGCTCCCTTTTCTGCCTCCCCCCTTCTGTACTCCACCCTCACTGAGGGTGGGGATTATGACATTCCAGGCTTCAATATTGTCATTCATTGGTTGCCAAATCCTAATTGAACTTGTCCCTGGTTACAGAAAACATACACAATTGATTAGCAACAGTTGAGTCTATACTCAACAATTATGATGGATGTGTGTGACCTGAACCTGTTAAGTAAATGATAGCTATTAAGTATTATCTGTATATCTATATACATATCTTACTTTAAGATACTTGAATTCACACAAACTGAATTGTGAAATGTTAATGGATGAATATACATTTTACAAAATACTTTCCCAGTTTACAAAATATTCACCCCAAAAGTGTACTTACAATGACCACCTTTGTCAATAAATTTATGATATGGCTTGATATCAAATAAAGGCAGGTTCTGTATGTCTAATTCTTAGGAACACATGTGCTGTATGAAATAAGCTACTCTTAATAAATTATTCTCACCATTGTCAGTATCATCTTTTTATTTATTTTCAAAAGAGGAAAACAGAACAGAGAATTTCTGCCCTTGAGAAGTTGGATTCCTGGCCTGGAACACATACCTGGCTGAGCTTGAAGCACCGAGTCTCGGCCTGCCTGCTGGTCTGCTGGTGGAGTTCCGTCAGTTTCCCGACCTTCTTGGTCAGCGGCTTACCCAGTTGGCCATTCTGTTCCGAGAACTTTTGTACGGCTCCATCCAGTTCCATTAACTTTAAGTTACAGGCATCCAATTCCTCCCCTAACACCTAGGTGGTCATCAAAATGAAAGAACATCAGACTATAGGAAATAAATGTCTCCAGATTTTTCAAGTTCAGAAGGATGATGTTAAATGATCTTAGTATAAGACAAATACAAATGATTTGTATGACCATGATCAGGTCATTTCCTTGGGGTGGAAGTCAGAGCAGGGTGTTTGGCAACCCTGGTGTTTATTTCCTGTGAGGCTGAGAGCTCACATTTTCCTTCTGCTCCACCCAAAAGGATTAGTCACTTAGCTCATCAGCAGAGTGAGAACTCAGATTGAGCTCCTAAGAACATCCTTCACTTTGGAATTGACATATCCATATTCCTAACTCATCATTGAGTTCTCTGACACTTCTCCTGCTTACCCACACATGCATGTATATTTATGAATAAAGTTCAACTGTGATGATAAATTATATCATGTAAATAGATCTATGCTATCATATTTATAGAGTTTCTTGATTGCCTCTCTTTACTGTCTGGTTTTAAGGAAGCTTGCTGATCAAAAAGCTCTTTTTTTTAAAAAAAAGATATTCCCAAAATGTACTAACTCCCAAAAAATACTGAATGCATTCAGCAGCACTCCTTGTGTTCCCAGTTCTCTTTCCTTACCTTTTGGTCAGCTTTAGCTTGAACTAAGTTATCTGTCTTTGCTCTCAGCTTAGTTAGAATAGTTGTGAGATCTTTGGTTATCTTCTGAATTTGCCGGCTGAACTCCTGGCTCGTGGCCTTGCTCTGTTCAATTTGTTTTACTCTGTCCTGGATCTAAACAATCAACGAGAACAGCAAAACCAAGCATGGTTAAACTTGGGTAACATACGAAAAACCTCATTGTTGACGAGAGATTTCAGGTGGTTCCTGCTGCTTTGGCATCTATGAGCTTTGTCGAAGCAGCCCCTGTAGTTACAAACTCACATGTTTTTCATGCACCCCCCCTCCCCCATCTTCAAGCATTCGCTGCAGATCTTTCTGCTGCTCTTTCAGTAAAGGAACAAAACAAGCAACACATGTACAGTGATTCACTCATCAAATATTTAGTGTCTGCATAGATGGCCATGTAGATAGCTGAGCCTGAATCTCTGTTTACTAACACTGTGACCTTCAACGCACAGACTCCTCCTCTAAGAATTTTTCTTCATAATATTCAGAACTCTCCGTTATAACTGGAACGCACACACATTTCCAAGCACCTTTCCATGAGCAGCTGCTAATGACCTGGTAACTGTCTAACTTTGCAGTCGCGTCCCGAGAGGATGATAAGAGAACATTAAGCACCTCCAGTGGAGGTGCTTTTACATGTTTCTAATGGCTGTGGTTTGATTTGATAACAAATATTCATACTTTGCTTATAATAAAATGCCAAAGGAAAGAAGGTAAAGAAATTTTCTCTTTGAATAAATGAAAGGCTGCAATACACCTAGAAGGGTGACTGGTAGCCTCTGGGCACTCAATGAATATTTGTTAAACACATGGTATATATCTTATTTTTGTTGTTGTTCCGTTAAGTCTTTTTTTTTTTTTGGATAAAGGTAAGGGAAAGCAGATAAGTTATTTCTAATTATATGACACTAGAGGCCTGGTGCACAAAATTTGTGAACATGGGGGAGGTCGTCCCTCAGCCCAGCCTGCACCCTCTTACAATCCAGGACCGCTGGCTCCTAACCCCTCACCTGCCTGCCCGCCTGATCGGCCTAACTGCTCTCCCCTGCCCAGCTGACCCCCCTAACTGCTCTCCCCTGCCGGCTGATCACCCCTAACCACCTCTGCCTCAGCCCTGCCACCATGGCTTTGTCCAGAAGGATGTCCAGAAGGTCGTTCAGAAGACGCCCAGTATAATTAGCATATTAACCTTTTATTAGTATAGATTATTGTTCATGTCTGTGATCATCTGGTGTGTATGTGTTTTATCTAATTTAACAGTATTGTTTTTTTGTTTTGTTAATCCTCAACTGAGAATATTTTTTCCATTGCTTTTTCAGAGAGAGTAGAAGGGAAGGAGTGGGAAGGGAGAGAGGGAAACAATGATGTGAAAGAAACACATCAACTGACTGCCTACTGCATGCGCCCCAAACAGGGGACAGGGAGCAAACTTGCAACCCACATACATGCCCTTGATGGGAAATCGAACCAGCGACTCTTCAGTGTGCAGGCGGACACTCTAACCATTGAGCACACTGTCCAGGGCAATAGTATTGTTTTATGCTGATCAGATTTTAAACTCTCTATCCATAAAGAAGTCCTTGTGAAAATCAAGAACTCTTGTACAAGAACGCTGAGCCTATGAAAGAAGGGAAAGGCACGCTTTCTTGGGCATGGGTTTACCTGGTCATGGACAGTTCCTAGGTCCAATGCCACCTCCGCTAGCTGTAAGGAGAGCTCAGAAGGTAGTATAGCATAAAGACCCAAGTACTTGGTCTTCTGCTCCTCGGCTACTGCCTCAATGTTCTGTCGGTGCTTTGTGGCTTCTGTTAGGAGAATCTGAAGAAAAGATCAAAACAAGAAATGTCTGGGAGCCTAAAGAAATTTCCATGGGTATAGAGACAAGACAATGTATTGTCCATCAGTACATGATTAAATGTGGAATTAGAGAGACATCTTAAGAAAAACCAAGCTTTCCTTTAGCCTCTGAATAAGAAACATGTCCACTTTATACAGAACAAACAAAAACCCCATCAAATAATACTAAAAGACTCTTATATAACACATTTCTGAAAATTTTTAATTCAATATTCTAAACAAATGTGTCATATTAAAATCAGGGCAATTTTTTAATGATAGGTATAAGGAATGAGGAGAGTTTTGTACCTGAAGTTCTTCAAGTTGAGCATCTATTTCTATTGTTGGATTCTCCAAATATTCCTTCGTTTCCCGAACCCAAGATTTCACAGAATTGATTTGAGTCTCCACCCCTTCTCGGTCCTTCAACTCCCGCTTCACCACCTTGCCGTGACTCCTCACTTTCTCCTGCATGCTTCAGAAACATTTCAGGGAGAAAGCAGAAGTGAACTGGAAATGAAAGGAACCCCTAGCTCACAGCATTATATTATCCAAAACAGACATTTTTTTAAAGGTGAAATCTCGTATCTCTTTGCAACTAAATTCGCGTCCCCCAAACTGTCAGATAATTTTCAGTAAGACTTACGTTTGGTCCAAGTATACTGGAAGAATATATATCAGGTGAAGTGAATGATTTTTCCCTGGAAAATTGAGAACTGACACACTCCACTGCTACTACATTGCCATTAATGTTCTATGCAAAATAACCGGGACGTTGTTTATTTAGTTTCTCTCCAGAAATCGACTCACATGAGTCAGGGTCATCAGCCTTTAAAAGTAATGTGTAATTGGAATATCTGGCCATTAGAAACCAGTCATTGAAGTCAAGCTTTGGAAATGTTACAGTTAATAATGTTCAACACCCAAATTGTAAGTCTTTCTTTGAATTGACATAAATTTGGTTTAAAAGTTTAAATAAGTGGAGCCCAATTACCCTGAATTCTTCTATAACTGAAGAGGTGGAAGTAGGACATGTATGAATAATAGTAGCTAATACAGCAGTTAAATTATCTATTGACATTTCTTCTCTGGCCCCATAAGTGAATCAGGCTGGTTATACATCATTAAGTTTACTTCCTCTAGCTACAAAGTGCGAAAAGGCCTATTTGCCTGAACTTTGGCATCATCCTTGGTCTGATCTCTCAGTCATCCAGTTTAGCCAGTGAGTTACCAAGCTTTTCAGACCCAGGTTCTATGTAGCTCTCAATTGTTCAGCTCTCAAGCTCTGTTTCTCAGGAAGAGCGGCATCACCCAACAGTTCCCTGAAAGTGACATGCTCACTTCCAAGGTTTCCTACAGGCTCTTCCCCTCTTTGCACAGTTCTCCTCTCCCCTGGCTGCCTCCTCCAGCTGCTCAGTCTTCAGCTGAGGAGAGCCTGCGGTGCCTGCCCTCCTAGGCCCCTTGTCTCTGCTTTGGGTTCCTTTCTCACCCTTTTCATGCTTTACCCAAACGGCCCCTGCAGTTGCCCATCTCTGCTGCTTGACTGTGAACAGCATGAAGGCACCGACTGAATCTGTTCGGTTCATCCCTGTATTTCTAAATACTACTAGATATGTGTTTGTCGGATAAATAACTGAAGAGCTAAGAAAAGTGGGGAACAGGGAGGAAGGGAACAGATCCTCCCTCCCCCAACTGTAAGGTGGCATGATGGAGCATCCCCAGACTCCAAAACCGCACTCATCCCTTTGGGTCATGGCCGGGTTCAGTAACAGAATGAAGGGCGTATCCTTACTTCAGGCACCGATCTTGCATGGCTGTGATTTCCTGCATGACGGGTGGCTCCTCCCCGGGGGGTGGAGCGGCCCCATCCGGGAGCATGCTCAGCGCCTGCTGCCGCAGCATGCCGAGGGCCGCCTGCTGCTGGTCCAGCTCCAGCGTGAACGTGTCGTGATGCTCCAGAAGAGCTAAGAGTTCCACTTTTGAGGCTTTCTCGGCCGAACTTTCCGGTAATTTGCCTTCTAGCTGATTGATCGTGTCAGTGGCTTTCTTAACCTGATGAAAAATGTTTGTAACATGAAGCTAAAAAATAAACTGAAAACATGGGGCAACTCCTATAAACACACATTTGACACTAGTGCAGCGGTTCTCAACCTGTGGGTCGAGACCCCTTTGGGGGTCGAACGATCCTTTCACAGGGGTCGCCTAAGACCATCGGAAAACACATATATAATTACATATTGTTTTTGTGATTAATCACTATGCTTTAATTATGTTCAATTTGTAACAATGAAAATACATCCTGCATATCAGATATTTACATTACGATTCATAACAGTAGCAACATTACAGTTATGAAGTAGCAGCGAAAATAATTTTATGGTTGGGGGTCACCACAACATGAGGAACTGTATTAAAGGGTCGAGGCATTAGGAAGGTTGAGAACCACTGCACTAGTGCATCAAAGCTCATTAAAGATGAGGGTGTAAACTCTAAATCCCAGGAAACTAAAGCCTGGACAATCTTCCTGACATGAAAGGAAAAACCATCTTTATAATTCTGGGTTTAAAGCTTTAATCTCAAAATAATATCAGGGCTAGCAGAGATTGCATAACATAGAAAAAGTGTGTGTGTGTGTTTTAAGTAAAGGACAAATGAAAAACTCCAATATTTCTAAAGGAGGATGTGTCTTCAAACATTGAATCCTACTTAAAAGATGAAAAAAATTAATATAGGACTTGGGACATTGGTTAAATTCCTGCTCATTTCCATGGCAAAGAAAGATGTATTTTATAATTTTTCAGGGCGAACGTTTCACTAAGAAACTGGCAAATGGAGGAAAGTGGGCTTGTCCTCCTTTTAAACTTTCATTTCTTGGTTTTCTTATTAAAATGATTGGACCCTGACTTGGGACTACATTGCAGATTGCCTGTTGTACGGTGTTGCATAATTTGGTTTTCATGCCATTGAAATAGAGATGTGGGGGGAAAACGCTTTGTGCTTTCACAAAGCCAATTGAAAACAAAAGCAAAACACTGCTTTTCAAAATACACGATCATCAGGGAGGAAATGATCCTGAGCCCAATAACGAAGGAAATCACCTTCTTGCCGAGGTTCTTCCACGCATCTGCCGCGTCCTCCAGGATCTTCTCCTGGTCCTGGGCCACCGCCCGGAGCCGCGCCCAGCGCTGCCAGACCGTGGTCATGGACCTGCCGATGGTCGCTTTGCTGGCGTCGTTCCCGGCTTTCTCCAGCTGCGAAGCCTCACCCTCCAGGGCCACGATTTTCTCGTGGAAGGAGTGAACCCCTGACACTAAAGCCTAAGGTGGGGAGAAAAAGAGGGTGAGGGAGAGATTTTTTTCAAAAGTTCTATGGATTTGAGGAAAGCCCACAATTACCTGCAAAAGGAAATGTCACAACATATATTCTTTTTTCCTCTGCTAACTCTTACTTTTACATCGGATTCTTCATCGAGTCAGGCTTGGATTTTTTTTTTTTTTTGAAAGAGGCAAGGTGGATATTTATTTGTTAAAAACCAAAGTTTATTTGCTACTTGAGATGGAATTCTCCCATCTTTAAAAGGCAGCAAAAATATAAGGGAACTGAGTTTAGTATTTAAGGATGGTATAATCTATGTTATATTGCTATGATATATGAGGGTGACTTCGCTACTATTTGCTAAATTGTATTTGAATTCATCTAAGTTATCACCAGAAAGGATTTACTGGAATTCATTGCATCACACTTTATCAGAAGCAATTGCTCTGAATGTCTTTTTAAAACCAGCTGTGCATTTCCAACTGAATCCTAAAAAAAGTGACAGACAGCATGCAATTAAGTAAAAACTGCTAGGAAACATGCTTAACGTATCCTTTTCGTGTTTAAGGAGCCCCGGTGAAGATGGATTGACCTGATTCTGGAACTGCAGTATCACTGAGACTCTTTACAAAGACAATGAAAGGAAGTTAAAAATAACCACACAACTAACCTTGTGCTCGGACAGTTTTTCTTCTGCTTCACGACTAGAAGAAGTCTTCAGTAAAGAGAATTCAGACAACTTCTTTTCGGCAGCATTCATCAATTCGATAACCTCTTCCCTTGCTTTCTGGTAATCCTGCCACTGAGCCGCACACCTTGAAAAGGTGCAACAAAAACCAGTAAGCAACATCAAATCCCAGTCACAGAGCTCTGACATCAAGATGCCTGATGGCACTCGAGAGAGAAGCATGAACTTAGGTGTGGATGTTCATTAGTACATTCCTGTTTTCCGTGTGAAAATTCATTTCAAAACACCTCATATTTCTGCCCAGCTGGTGTGGCTCAGTGGTTGAGCATCGACCTAGGAACCAGGAGGTCACGGTTCGATTCCCAGCCAGGGCACATGCCCAGGTTATGGGCTCCATCCCCAGTGGGGGGTGTGCAAGAGGCAGCCGATATATGATTTTCTCTCATTACTGATGTTTCTATCTCTCTCCCTCTCCCTTTCTCTCTGAAATCAATAAAAATATATTAAAAAACAAAAACAAAAACACCCTCACATTTCACTAGAATACAGCGATTAAAACCACTCCGATACCTCCGCAAGAGATCGAGCTGGGCGTGGGAGTCCTGGATCATCCTCCGGCTCTTCTCCTCCAGGGTCGTCATTTTCTGTGCGAGCTCCTCTTTGGCAGTTGGCTTGATGAGTGGGTCCAGGGTGGCGACCAGGCCGTGGAGCTCCTCCAGGTTACTCTGGAACTGATCCTCTGCGCTAAAAAACTCCGTGTGGCTTCTGAGAGTGTCCTCCGCACTCTCCACGTCCAGGCCACTGCCTGCCAGCTGCAGCATCTCGTGGGCATCCTCAAGCCAGTCGCTCGCGGCTTGAAACACTTGATAGTACCTTTGACATTGACTATATATTTGAGTCAACGTCGCCTGAAACATAGTCATTACAAACACAATCAACCCTCAATTGCCGTGTGTTTGCAGAAAATCGTGAATTTTTCCGGTTCTTTTCCAGTCCTTTGTCATGTGGATGTATGTGTATAAGTGAACTGAAAAGTTGATGGGTTTTTTTTTTGGTGTAATCCATTGTTATCCTTTGTTTTCTCTTCTGCTAATCTTGCTATAATTGTATTATTATAGTTAAAATGTGTAAACAGAGACAGAAATGAAATCGAAATGTATACTGGTATCTTGACTAGTTCTGAGACTGCCTCTCACATGTGTACGTCATACTATACATACAATAATGCTTAGTCATATGTGGCAGACTGAATATTGACCAAAGTGAAATACTGTCTCCGTTGGTTAGAAGTGTAACAACACCAGTGGGCATGTAAGCCAGTACAGTCACTGAGGACAACAGTATGGAAGTTCCTCAAGAAATTAAATACAGTACAACTGCCAGATGATCCGGCAATTTCACTTCTGGGTACTTATCCAAAGGAAACAAAATCATTATCTTAAAGGGATATCTATACTCCCACACGCTATGCAGCTCTCATTTCTTTATCCCCAAGTAAAGTCATGATGAATATTCTAGTCTTGCTTCTGTGGTGCCACAGGGAAGCGAGAGAAGATGAAGCACTCCTCCCCGAGGAAGGGGTGAACAGATGGGGCAACTGATGGGAGACCCCAGAAAAAAACGTGGCTCAGCATCAGGGTCAGGGCTGTATCATCCATCTGCCTCTCTCCATTTGGAGATTCTTCATCCATACTAATGTTGTAAATGCCAAGTTTTGCATTGTTTAAAAACGCATCACTAATTCATCATTGCTAATTTGTTTATTTTATTACTAATGTACTCACCATGGTATTAAATCCATTAGGGCTATCATTTATTACCTCTCATAAAGGTGAGAGATAGTAGGGGTTACTGTATAACTAAGTGAGGCCAACATGGAAATCACATGAAATGAATACCACATCCGTAAACAATAAACACATCCTTTTGAGTCACCATCAGTTAAAGATGATTCTACATAGTATCATCAAAGAAATATTTAAGGCAGCAATTCTAACAAACAACAAAAAAACAACACACAAATATCTCACACACGTCCACAAATAAGCAGAGTGGGGAGAAGACAGGAGGAGCCCTTGTACCCACCTGCCTGGTGCGTAAAGCTTCCTGAATGTCTCCGTCCAGCTCCGAGAGCTCGGCCAGCGTGTGCTGCAGGTCGGCGGAAATCAGCTCCTTGGCTTTGGTGAATCTCTCCGTCTCCTTGTCGCTCAGGGCCTTCATGATCCTGAGGCTGGACTGCACCTCTTCCTGGTGAATCTGGACCTTCCTGATCTCCTCCTGGATGTCCCGGAGGTTCAGGTCGAGGCACACGGGCCCGCCGAGTTCCGCCTGCACACCCCTCAGCCAGGCCAGGGAGCGGCTCAGCTCGGTCTGGAAGTCTATACTCTGCACCATGCGGCTCTCACACTCGGTCACGGTGGCGCCAATGGCCGCCGTCAGCAGTGTTAACTCCTCCTGCCAGGCCTGGATCTGCTGCTTGGCTTTCTCGTAAGCCGAGGGGCTGAGGTGTGGGACCAGATCTTCGAGATGCATGGCCAGGCGTTTGAGCAGAATCGCCGAGTCCTGGAGGCTTCCCGCCAGGGAGTGATACAGCTTGAGCTTCTCCTCCGCGGGCAGCGTCTCCTCGTTCACTTGGGACTGCTCTGCCCGCACGGCCTCCAGCTGTTTCCGCAGCTGCTGGCCCATCTTCTCGTGCTCTTGATACGCAGCCGTGGTGTCCTCCAGTAAGCTCGCCCTCTGTTCTGTCTGCCGCTTCAGCCTGTGGTACGAGGCGACAAGCTGCAGCATCCTGTCGGGCTGCCACGGCTGCCCTGTGCTGCGGAAACTTTCCTTCTTCTGGCTCAGCTCATCCACGGCCTCCCCGAGGCCCGCCACCTCGCCCAGGAGCGCCCTGCAGCCCTCCTGAAGGCACAGCGCCTCCTCCACCGTCAGGGCGCTGGGGACGGGGCTCATCTTTAGGAACCGGTCCTCCAGGTCGCTCAGAGACTGGGCGGTCAGCTCGATCAAGGAGGCGTACTCTTTCCGAGCGAGAATGGCTTCCTGGACCTTGTAGAACTTGTCTTTGGCCAAGGCGACGATGACATTAAATTGCTGGGGCAGAGCGTTCAGCTTCTCGTCCAGGTAGGAATGATCGACTTCGCTCAGCGAGGGCAGTATGGCCTGCCCGGTCCTCTGCAGGGTCAGGAGGAGGCTTTCGTATTCCGGAGATTGCTCGAGGAGGTGCTGGTACTTGGCCAGTTGCGCCTGCAGCTCTGAACTCTCATTCATTAGGTTGATCTCAGGAAAGGTGACAATGTCTGCTTGTTTCAGCCAGTGACAAGCTTTATCAAAATCTTCCTTGAAATGCTTCCTGGAGACGAAGCTCTTCTCCAGCTCTTGGAGCCTCTGGCTGCACTTCTGCAGGACGGCGTCGTACACGCCCTGCAGGTCCTGGAGCTTGCCCAGCACCTCGCCCTTGTCCTGCTCCGTGGCTCCTTTCATCAACTCACGGCCCTGCGCCCAGAGGCCAGTGACTTCACTTTGGTAGGTCTTGAGGCTGGCCTGGGCGCTCCGACAGGCTTTGATCTGTTTGCTCACGTCGTCCGGTAGCAGGCAGATGTGCTCGCGAAACAGTATCTTTCGCTCGTGCTGCTGGATCTGGCTGGTCGCCTGGAACAGCGCCATGAGAAACTGGGTCTTCTCGGACAGGGCCTTGTTCAGGTACTTGCGTCTCTGGCCCACGAGGTCACTGAGACAATGGACATGCCTCTGTGCGTCGGCGAGCGCCTTCTGGACGACCTGCCGCTCGTTCAGGCCGAGATCCGCCATCACCCTGTCCGCGTCCTTCGTGAGGGATTTCAGGAGCATCTGCTTGGCCTCCAGTTCACTGCAGACGGTGAGGTGGTCCATCAGAAGGTTGGGAGCCACGTCGGGAGGGGGGCTCTGCTTGAGGGCCTCGGCGATGCTGGGCTGCTGCTCCTCCGCCCACTCCATCAGCTCCTGGAACCTGGCCTGCACCACGCTCAGCTCCTCCAGGTTGGCGACCGAGACTTGGATTTTCCTAGTAATGAGGTCCTCCAGCTGAGACCAACGCTGTTCAAGGTGACGGGTCTGCTCTTTGACTAGGTCCCTGTCATCTAAATTCAGATGCTCGATCACGCTCTGCTTTCTGTCTTTCAGGTCCTCAATGGCCTGCTTCCTCTCCTGCAAGGCCGACGCCAGCTTCTTCAGAGCTTCCAGGTGGACCGCGGTGCTCTCCGCATCGGATCTGTAAATACACAAAAGACATCAAACAAATTAGCCAACTCGGTCTCTGTAAGTGTTCATACCATGTTCTATCACATCTCTCCTTTAAGAGGATTTCTTCACTTGGAGTTTACTGACCCAAGTGCTGTAATTACTATGGAATGCAAGATCCATGTCTTTCTATATCAGAAGTTGGGCCCAAAACAAATGGCCTACATGAAGCATGCCAAGCTCAAACTCAAAGGCTAACATGGGTCAAGTAAATGAGGCATGTAGCCCGCAGGCCGCGGGTTTGACATGCTTGGCCTACATACTTCCTTTCTACTCTTCTGGATCCTACTGCCCTCCCGACACATCTGACACCTGCTTTTAGCTTCTTCCTCTGGCCCTTGCAAAGTGAGCAAAATCGGCACATTAACAAGATCCCTGGATGACTTGTGTAAACATTAGACATTGAGAAGCACTGATCTCTGCATTCTTGAAAACGACACTTAAAGAGATTAATAAGTGGCCAATGATGTATGTGCTTTCCTGTGAGAAGAAGCTCAAGCAAACACTATAGTGCTAGACAGGAAATCTGCAAGACATAACCAAGGGCGATCTCAGCTACTCATTTGTGAACTCAGATATATATATATATATCTTTTTAACCCTTAGCCAAGGATATGTTTTTATTGATTTTAGAGAGAGGAAAGAGAAGGAGTGGGGGGAGAGAGAAACATTGATGTAAGAGAAAACATTGATCAGTGGCCTCCTATATGCATCCTTTTACCCACTGGTTCAATTAACAGTGAGCAAGGAGAACCAGGGCTCTCTATCCATATGACAACATGAGTTTCTTTCTTTTCTTTTTTTTAAATGTGTTTTTATTGATCTTTGAGAGAGGAAGGGAGAGGAAGAGAGGGATAGAAACATCAATGATAAGAGAGAATCAGTGATAGAATGCCTCCTGCATGCCCCCTACTGGGAATCAAGCCTGCAACCCGGGCATATGCCCTGACCTGGATTCAAAATGTTCATGGGTCGAAGCTCCACCACTGAGCCACACCCAGGCACCATGAGTTTCTTAACAATGTTTTGTCAGTGTTGATAATGATTGACAATGGATGTTAAAAACATTAAGAAAGGCCTTTTCCGTTTTTATAGAAATTAAGAAACATCTGGCTTAGTATTCTGGGATGTGCCAGAGCATTGCTGTTACCTGGCCAAGTTATCCCATTCTGTAGTAAATTTTTCTAAGAACACCTCGACGACGCTCATGCAGTCATGGTAGTCTCTTGTCCTCTGGAGATCCTCTTCCCTTTGCAAGCACAGGCTGTTGGACTGAAGGCACAGATCCAGCCACTGGTCGTTCAGATGACTGATCTCCTTGTGTTCCGGAGACTCCTGCTTCTTGGTTAACTCATCCACCTTTTCCTTAATAGCCGTCACCGACGCCTGTTTGCACTGTAGCTTCTTAACAAAATCCTGAAGGTAACAACACCGACAAAATAGGTAACCTGAAATAAACTCCCCAATAAATATAGAGGGAAGCATAGATGTAATAAGCCTAACGAACTAAGCATGTATAATTAATGGGTCATGCGGAACAATGAGAGACTAAAAATGATCATACCTCTTTATGAATACAAATTTCCAAGTGTATAAGAATCAAAGGATAACTGTAGTACTTTCTTTTATTGTGTAATTTTGAACAGTATAAAGAAAAACTGAGAAATGTAAAACAATATTATATTCACTAAGGAAAAAAGTTAATATTGTATCTTAAAGTGCAGCCTTAGTTTCCTAAAAACTTTTGAAGTTCATGCTTTTGAGAAAAAAAAGTAATCTAAATTTATGTCATCTTGTTTTTTCTGCATATGCAAATAATATCTTAGTAGAAACTATAAATGGTTCACTTTCATAGAGAAAAAATAAACTTTAAAGTTTGTTAAAAATCTGGTACAACTTCCAGTCAAGTTAAAATAATCTTCTATTAGGTTATGTGTAAATATGGAATAGCAATGATATTTCTATTACAAATATAATTATATATTAATAAATATCGAGTTTATATTCAAATATGTATCTAGTTGATTGGTACACTTACATTCCTACAGCTTCAATTATTTATGTATTAATATATATTTACTAGAGGCCAGGTGCATGAAAATTCTTCACTCGGTGTTGGGGGGGTGTCCCTCAGCCCGGCCTGTGCCCTCTTGCAGTCTGGGAGCCCTTGGGGGCTTAGGTGGTTAGACATCCTTACAGCTGCCACGGAGGCAGGAAAGGCTCCCACCACCTCCAGCCGTGAGCCTGGCTCAGGGCTTCTGGCTGAGCGGTGCTCCCCCTCTGGGAGTGCATTGACCACCAGGGGGCAGCTCCTGTATTGAGCGTCTGCCCCCTGATGGTCAGTGCGTGTCATAGTGACCAGTCATTCTGCCGTTCGGTTGATTTGTATATTAGCCTTTTATTATATAGGATTCATATAAAATATACTAGAGGCCTGGTGCACGAATTTGTGCACAGGTGGAGTCCGGCCGGCTGCTCCCGCCCTCGATCTGGGTGTTGGGAGCCAATTGGGGGCCAGGCCTGCTGGAGCAGGGGACTGATAGGGGCCCAGATAGGCTGGTTGGCTGCCTGCAGTGCATGTCATAGCCACCGGTTGTTCCCATCATTCTGGTTGTTCTGCCGGTCCGGTTGCTGGGCTTTTATATATATAGATATAATATAACATGTATATTATGTATTTTATATATTTAACATGTATTTAATTAATGGGCACATTGACAGTCCTGCAACTTCAGCAACACTGTGATGAAAGATGATAAGTGATGAGGGCTTGTGTGTGTTCAGAGGCAGAGGCTTCTGGTTGTATCAGCTAAACCACAGTGCCTTGTTCAGGAACAAAGTGCAGAGTGAGGGGCCTTTGATTCAAGTGGCCAATTGGAGCTCCAATAAACTATTTGAATGTTTACTTTCATTTTAAAAATTACTATTTTTATTTTTCAATTACAGTTGACATTCAATGTCATATGAGTTTCAGATGTATAATATGGTGGTTAGACATTTACATAACTTCCAAAGTGATCCCCCTTAAGTGTAGTGCGCATCTGATACCATACTTAGTTATTACAACATTACTGACTATATTTCCTTTGCTGTGTTTTACAAATGTTTGCTCTCTGATCTGTCCTTTCCTGGCACCAAATGAAGGTCTTTCTCATTATTTGTATTCCTTCAATAGCTATGCTAATGTTTAAGGATTGAGGGACACACCCATCTTGGCCTTCTCTGTCTCCCCCGGGAGACTCACTCTTTCCTACCTTCACTTGGGAAACCATGTTCTGTGCAATGTTGAGCTCCAGTTCTGCGTGTCTCCGCCTCATATTCTGCAGTTGCTGGTCGGCGTCCTGGAGGTAAATCCAAAGCTCAGCCTTCATGTGCTTGATCTCCTCCCAGCCCTGAGTTAAGGTCTGAGCCTGGGCAAGCCTTTGTTCGATCTGGAGGGAACACAGAGGCGAAAGTCAGCGTTCACAGATGGAGGCGTTTATGTCCAGTGAATCAGAGGTGCAGTTCCTCAGCCTGTCCATGTACACAGGCCAGTACACATGCATGCGTGCACACACTCTGCTATACATCCACCGCGAATTTTTTCTTTGCTTCAAGAAAAGCAGATGTTTCTTTTTATACTTAGGTTTTCTAAGGACTTTTCATGTATAAGACATGCCATATAATTTCAAGCAGTATCATGAGACTTTAAGAAGTTTTAACAATCTATTAAGTTGCCCTAATGGTTTTTCACATTTGGCGTTTTCAACACCCGAATAACTCGCAAATTCAATCTTGGGGTTAATGAGAAAAGACAAATTATTCTCTATTATACATTCGTTGTTAATTCTTATAAAACACTGAGTTATTAATGTTTTAAATATATTTTTAGATCTGCTTCACTGCCTTTTTGAAACCATATAATTTATTTCAATAAATCATTTCTGTGAAAACATATAAATTACTGCATTTTCATAAAGATTAAAGACAGATTTGGTTTGTAAATATAATATAAAAGAAAGAAACCTTCATTATTTTGAGACACTTCTTGCTTTGGGTGATTTTACTGTCCTATAAATATTTATATATTAAAAACCTAAACCAAGTCTTATTTTTCTTTTAAACCCAAAAGTATTAAAGAGGTTAAGGAACATGACCCTGTGCTGCCATCTGTCTGTTGTGGACAGTACTGCTAATTCATCACAGCATTTTCCACTGAGCCCAGAGGCAGCTCCAGAATCCTTCCCAACACCACACTCAGCCACTGCCAATGGCATAGAAGGCCTTTGACAGCCCTAACATAAAGCAAGGATCAGGAACACACACCCTCCATAGTAAGTGTTACCCAAAGGAAAAGATGGAAAGGAGAAAACAAAACAAACAAAAAATGAGTGGAAAAATAGGGAGAATGGTAATCAAGGAAAAAAAAAAGAAGTGGAATGAAGTACTAATAATCAGCAGATCAATGGGACTAGATGTTTCAGTTCCAACTCAGTGGCATTGGGAACGGAATGTGCTTATTTTTCCGTGACTTAGTTGAAATTCAAATATCTATTCATTATAATCACCATAGGAGATTTACAGCAAGAATGACTCAAGGAAATATTTTCTTTAAACTTCTCACCCAACGTTCAAACAAGAGAATGTAACAGAACAGACAAATCCAAGGCTTACACGCCTTACCATTTGCTCTGTTTGTTGAATGTCTTTTGCCGTGGTTTTCACTGAAGAGTTCGACAAGTCGCACATGGAGCAGAGGAGGTCCAAGTAGGTCCTGGCCTGCTTCTGCAAAGCTCTGAAGTGCTTGACCTTAAACAAACACACTTGTCAGAATGGAAGACATGCACGCCATCCTTACACAGCACATCTTTGTGCCATTTGTATTACCTTGTTGACATTTCAAAAATAATTTTGCTACGTTCAGTATATACAACCCTTGTTGTAAATAGCGTGTATTAGTTACTCTCAGAAAGAATTCAAAACACACTGGCAGGGATCCTTTGCCCATCACTTGCTTCTCATTGTGTTAAAGCCGGTATGGTCTGGTAAAAGGAAACACCCAAGAAACTCCTATATTTTTTCCTGCTTCTCAGCTCACATTCTAACTGTTCTCTGTTTCAGAGAAAGAACCTTTACCCTAGCCGGCTTCTTAGCATGTTTTCACAGAGTGTGGAGACATAAAGGGGGGGAAAAGGTCATTGTGCACCTATAGGCTTCATTGGAGTTTGGGACAAATTAGATGGCTGGGCTCTTTTTATTCTGTGGAAAGTTCGAGAAAGGCATTTCCCGGGGATCATTAATCTATACACACGGACATGGAGAAATGTGTCTTTTTGAAGATAGTCAGATATGTAGGCTCTGTTTTAGATCATGGGCATAAAGCAGTACATGAAACAAAACCTTTGTTCCCACGGAGCTTAGATTCCTATGAGAGGGGCAGGCAGGGATCAGAAGGGTGAAAAGCAATGGAAAAAATATCCATTTTTCAGAGATTAAAAATAAAAGCTAACTATCATCTGAGCCTTCAGTGAGTCATAATCTTCTTGCTGGAGGAGGGCTGTACCTTCAATTTGTAAAAGCGCATTATCTCCGAGGCCCAGTAAGCGCAGTCCAGTAAGACGAGGTATGCCTGTACTTGGGTATCCCAGCAGCCAGCACAGTTTGGCACACAATGAGTACTTAACATGTTTCTATTGAATGTCTGAATGAATCACATCATATAACATAAACTTCAGGAGTCAGTACCTGCTTCACAGCTTCTGCCCTGCTCAGAGGTGGGTGCGGGCTTGGCTTTAAATCAGGTTGGGATGGCAGAAAGCCAGGCCTGGCATTGCTGCAGCGTGTCTTGGCGACTGACATGCCTCTGAAGTTCATGTTCCAAACTCTGGTACACCTGCAACAGAATAGCCGTGCGCAGCTGTGAGAGCCGTCTCATACCCCTACCCACATCCCTGGGATCAAAGGAAACACGTCCACCAGTCCACGGAAATGGATTTACCCCCCCCCCCCCCCAGGACTCCCCAGTACCATACACATATCAACGGAGTTTTCATATGTCCCAAAGGTGGCAGAGCACAGTTGCCATCCCCAGTTTATTACTTCCCAAACCACACATTACAATATAAATCCTGATCAGGGAAAGAACGTGGGCAAGGTTCATATAACTGTAAGGTGTGTTAGAATCACTGAAGTAGATTGTCAAACAGAAATTATAGGTTTTTTAGCTTCTCCACTATGGTATACAAATTGCAGTTTTTGTTTAAGCTAGAAACTAAAAGTAAAAGTAAAAGGCCATTTCATGAAAAGATAAATAATATTCCTCTAACCGAAATGCTGGGTGAAATCTGTTGATTCCCTAGACTTAGGAATTCACCTTCCAAAAGTTAACTAAAAAGAAAAATAAAGTAATCCAACAAATAATTGTAGATGATGACAAAGGAGGAAAAAGGAGTGAGACAAGGTTAGATGGGGCAGAGGACCCAATCAGTGATTTAGTGAGCAAGATTACAGCCCGGCTGTTGTAGGCCAGTAGGTTGAGGGTCAACCCATGCACAGGGATGTTGTAGGTTTGATTCCTGGACAGGATTCAATTCCCAGTAGGGGGCATGCAGGAGGCACCTGATCCATGTTTCTTTCTCATCAATGTTTCTATCTCTCTCTTTCCCTCTTCCTTCAAGCAGAGAAACAAAAAGAAAAAAGAATTAAAAAAATGAGGAAAGTCTAAGAGATCTCTGGGACAGCATCAAGTGTAACAACATCTTCATTGTAGGGGTGTCAGCAGGAAAAGAATGAAAGGGATCAGGAACCTGTTTGAATAAATAATGGCTGAAAAGTTCCCTAAGCTGGTGTACTTAATCTTTGTTAAAAGGGCAATTCTTATTCATCTTAGCCTTATTTCTATAACCTTAGGGATTCCATTTTAGCATAACTCATTACACCCACTAAAATATAACTCAAAATTGGTACTTGTTCTTTTTATCATTTTATGAATGCATAAAAATATTAGAGTAGAATCTAGGCTGCATAGAGTTAAAAAATAATTATTCTGGAAATTATTTTAGTGTTATAGACTGGCAAATTAGAAAAAATATTGGTGATTATCAAATAAAAAACAAACAAAACAAAATTTAAATAAATTTGACATTAATTCACGGAATAAAAGGATTGGGAGAAAGCAAATGTCTGAAAGCGAAAAGTTCTGTGTCCACAGAGCCTGAAATCTGTACTCCTGTCGGGAGATGCTCCAGAAATATCCCGAAGACTGAAACATCTAAACTATTTACAACCCCCTGGATGGCACAGGCTTTCTCCCTGCTTCACGGTCACTCCAGGCCGAGCCGTGGTGCTCACCCGCTGGGCGGTACTGCAGATGGCGGAGTAGCTGTCCCTCGTGCCCTGCAGATGCGCCTGCACGTGTTGTGTAAGTTTCGCTTGGAGGTGCTCTGCACACTGGCTGATCAAAGTGTCGCCTTTCGTTTTCAGGTTGTTCAGACGGTCCTCAAAGCCGGCAATTTCTTCCATCATCGCCTACAAAATAGGAACAGAGTTCTCGCAATTCCACTGTTAGTCTTTCAATAACCTATTTATTAAGCAGAAGGCCTAAGAGGAAAATTTCACTGTTTAATGATATTTTTGAAAGAGTTTGCAATTTACCTTGGTTTCCATATAGTAAATGAAAAAAAAAAAGTATGTTTCAGGAATCCTCCAATAGGAAGAGTTGGTGAAAATAACAGATTAAGTGATGACGAAGTAACCTTTCAGCTAGTTCATGGCTGATCTCAGCTAGAGAGATCTCTGCTCCCTAGTATTATTAACAGATAAAGGATGTTTATAAATCTTTCAGCTCTATCAATTATAATTCTGGAATAATTTCTACCTATAATAATCTAATTACTATTTAATTTACTAATATCCAATTTCTCTAATAATATGACATCTGATTTATATAATAATCTAACAGCTAATGATTAATTTTCATAATATCTAGTTTACATCACATAATATTTATATTAATGAAAATAACATTTACCACTTACCACTTATTAAGTACTTGCTACAGTCCAGGAACTATGTCGAAGTCCTGAGAAGTGTGTATTATTGTCATTGCTTTTCAGATGAGGAGACTGACGCACAGGGGGATTATATAACACACTTCAAGGTCACACAACTAGTGAATGGCAGAGCCCCAGGCTTGGGACCCACTCTGCCTGACCTCGGCTCATCCACCTCTATCCCCTGTGTTCTCTAGTGAGCTCTTTCATGGATCACTTAGAGAAGAGGAACCAGCTTTTCCAATCAGGGTTTAATTTCCTCACTGCTATATGGTACCAATAACAGTGACACATTCCAGCACCAGGTGCCCTGGGTTGACACATCAATATCTCTAAGGGAAACCTAGTGGTCCCTCAGCAGCCTGGGGTCCATCACTTCATCCAATGGTGCTGCGTTAATGGTTATTGTCTACACCATATTTTAACGAGCCATTGTGTCTTCGAGTTAGAATAGAGTCACTACATCATGAGGTTATTTGGGGTGTGTTCTCAGTGCCTAATAGAATATATCATATGATTAGTTTTCTATCCATATTTACTGCTCCTGAAGCCCACAGGCATTAATGGCTCTCTTTGACACATCATAACTAAAATTCAGTTTCTTATTAAGGTCAGCAAGTTGCTCCATTAAATTGTGACCATATGACATCTGTCATCTGGCAGGTGGAATTACTAAAAATGCATATGAATGAAAATAAGAATGCCTCCTATCAGTACCATTTGTGGTTTACAAAAGTTTTCACAGACATTATCTCCTGTGATGCCCTCAACAGCTATGTGATGGGGCTGGTATCACTATGGCCCTTTACAGAGGAGAAGGGGGAGACTCAGAAGTGTGTACCTGGTACCTGTACAACTTGTTAACCAGTGTCACCCAATAAATTCAGTACAAAGGGGAAGAACAGGAGGAGGCTCAGAGAGGCTAAGTTCTCCCAGCTGAGGAGAGAGTCTGTCTGGAGGCCAGACTTTCTGGTTACTCTTTCTGTATCCTATTGTTGGCTGTACTTTTCTAAATTAAAGACCATCTTTCTGAAAAATTATTCCATATAGATGAAATTCTGCAATAGGAAACTATTAGCTGGGAAGAAATGCTAGTGTGTTCAGAGTTGAATGCCAGGACTCAGCTACTACTGAGTCAATTAAATATTGAATTCAACTGTTCTCAATTATCAGAGGTTCTTGGAACTCAGACCTGATTATTTAACTACAATCATATAATCTTGACATGCACACACACACACACACACACACACACACACACACACACGCAAGGCTGTAGAAGGCGTCCTGTATTCTTCAGCTCTTTAGAGACTAGACGTACCTTGTGGTGGGCCAGTTGCTGGGTGATTGTCTCTAGGCTGCTTGTGTCCATGAGGTCAGGGGCCACCAGCCTGCCGGACATCTGCAGCAGCCACTTTTCCACCTCCTGGAGCTCACTGTTGTAGTCTTCGTGGTCTTTGACCTTCACCTCAAGACTGTGAACATGCTCCTGTGAAGCCAAGTACCCATTAGAGGTGACTTTCAAGCCAAAAACAAAACAAAACAAAACACTCAAAACTGTTTTATATTTTGAAAAACCCAGTGCAACTCATAGGGTAGAAGGCTCATATAGCCAGCTCTAGTCTCACCACTAGGATCAGATAAAACAGAAAAAGTCATTATGCCATCGAATAAAAGAAAAGATCCTGACCCATCCCAGCCCTTAAATTTTTCTGACAGAGAAAAAGGAGTCAGGACCCCACTTCTGGCAAGTAAGCACATTTGTATTGGATTTCTGCTACCGCCTTACCTTTCCCGCGCTGCAGAGGGCCTCATAGTCACTTTGAAGCTTAGCGATCTTATCCTTCAAAGCACCGTCCTGCACCAGGTCCAGAAGCGCATCACCTTTCTCTCTCACTGATTTCACCGATGATTCATGGGACAGCACTGTCTGTTGAAGTGACTTGAATTACAAAGAAAAAAGAGAGAACCCGCTCATCTGTGTGATCAAGGTGAACATACCCGTATGCCACATGTGAGATGATCTCCAATCAAGACCTATTTTATAAGTCTATGAATGTAAAACATGAAAGGAATTAGGTTTCTTTATGGCTAATATAGCTTTTAATTTTTATATACTGATTTGAGAGAGAGAAAGAAAGAGAGAGAGAGAGAGAGAGAGAGAGAGAGAGAGAGACATCAATTTCTTGCTCCACTTATTTCTGCATTCATTGATTGCTTCTTATAAGTGCCCTGACCTGGGATCGAATCTGTAAGCTTCAATGGATTCTCTAACCAACTGAGCTACCTGGCCAGGGCCTAAAATAGTTTATAAACAAAGAATAACACCAAATAGTGTGGAGAGGGAAGCATGGGAAAGAATTGCATTTGATGAAATTTAACATTATTTTTATTTCCAGCTTCCATCCCATTCCTTTCAGCAGAGAATAAAACTCAACACAGAACCAGGCACTATCTTTTTATTTTGAGCTCCTGACGTTAACTGCAGCTTGAGGTGCATGTAAAATTAGGGAGACAAATTCTAGCTGCCAGGCTGCTGTCCTGGCTCACAGCATTATTTAAACATACTGAGAACTCAGTGGTTCAATGACACGCTGTCAGACTTGGTAGAAAAGCCAAGGATGAGAATAGACATATTGGCCGGAGGAGGCAAAGCCTGGCAGGGAAACCTTTGAGGTGAGTCATCTGACAATTCCTAAAGACTATCCTTTAAATCAGTGGTTCTCAACCTTGGCTGCACATTAGAATCACCTGGGAATCTTTTTAAAATTCTGATTTCTGGGCCTCATCCTCCAGAAATTCTGTTTCTTTGTTACTAATGTTGTGGCCCCACCCCATAACAAAGAAACAGAATTTCCGAGGATGAGGCCCAGAAATCAGGATTTTAAAAAGATTCCCAGGTGATTCTAGTGTGCAGCCAAGGTTGAGCACCACTGCTTTAAATATTCAGGTCAAATTTAGAACACAAATTATTCCACGTATAGACTTCCAAAATTGTTTCAAAAATTAAAATAGGTGAACTATCTCTATATCCTATTTTGCTAGCTATATTCACACCACCACTTGTTCTTTTTATTTTCCCATTTGTTCTTTGAAAGATTAATTTCTAAGATGTCTAGCTAGAGTGAATGAAGTAGAACTTGTTTTCTTACAAATATGGTATCTCGTTTTAAATTAACCAGAGACTAGCTTATTGGCCTTTGGTACCCAAATATGAAGGGAAGACTCTACATGAAACAGATGAAATCTACAGGTGTGAGATCTTGACACCAGGAAGATTAATCTGGAGGATCCCGCTACCTGGATCACACTGTGAGAATAGCTCTCCAATTACTGATACAACCTTTGAATATCAGGCAAATATGGTTCCCGGATGGAAATAGAACTTTTATGTACTGTATCTGGCTACAAAAATCTACATCGTTCTCCCCCAGCAGAACAAACACGTTACGGACATTTTCCACCATCCACTAAGGAACACAGAGGAATCCTCTCCCACTCAGTCCACATATGCGACTCCTGCAACTGCCAGTGAGTAACAACACACTACCTTGTACTTAGATAACTGAGCCTTTTTCTCATATAATTCCATTTTGGGTTCCTCAGGAACGTGCAGGATCTCTTGGTATTCGGCGATCCACTGAGTAAGTGCTTTATATTTATCCGAGAATTCCTTTGCTAAATGAAGGCCTTTCTCCAGGGTCATGTGCTCCTTCCGAACAGTGCTGGTCAGCTCGTTCAATTGCTCCACGTGACCATGGATCTTGCTTCTTAAAGCGTCTGCCTCGCCGTCCTCCAGGTACGCCAGAGCCCTCTCTCCTTTCTCCCGGGCCGACTTCAGCAAACTGTGGCCTTTCTCCATGTCTTTTAGCAAGCCCTGAGGAAGAGAGTGTAGGAAGCAAATACTGGGTTAGTACAAGGAAAAGAGACTTGAATTTCATTGTAACATGGACAATTTAACCTTATTTCATTCCTTTTAAAGAAAACGTGTACAAACCTCATTCTCGAGTCCACTACTGCCCCTTAAAAAAGTGCTTGGAGTTTCTAACCAGTTTTGACCCGCCAGGAATCAGGAATCCTCTTATTTACATCAATATAGGTTTTAAAATGTCTTAATCAATAGATCATTTCCAAATCAGTGTTTTGAGACAGGACTGGGTGTTTATCTTAACCTCAGTAATATTCCTAAAGATCTGAGTTAAAGCTGTTAACGCATGGTGCCATCAATGTGAGATAAATTTCTGGTCTTAAAATTTTAAAGTGTTAGACTGGAATTTAGTTAAGAATTTCGTGAGCAGCCATGTCCAAGTCATTCAGGTGAGATCACATCACCAATAAATGAAAGTCTGCTTTGGGCCTTAAGAGATAAGAACTTAGTACTTCAGTGAAATGATGAGCCAAGAACCACCCATCACACCGGGCGGAGATGAGCATGTGTCTCCCAATAGCTACACGAGAGAAAGGAGCAGCTCAGTGAAAGAAGACAGGTTGGGAGACAAGTCTGACGTTCTCATGCCTACCTCCAGCGTCTTCATCTTTTTCCCCATCATCGCCTTATCTACTTTATCAATTTTGGCAGCCACATTCTTGAAGTTTTTATGAGTAGAGCTGTACCAATGAGAATAGGAGCTTAGAGATGACTCAGCTTCCTCCAAACTCTGGATCTCTTCCTCCAGGAATTTTATTTGTTCCTTTGAAAAGAAGAAACAAAATGGAACTGTGAGTTCAGGACCCACGCCAGTGCCCTTTGTGATACACATGCATCTTCCCCGGAAGGTAGGGAGTGGAAGGAGGAATGCTTTGGCCTGCAGAGTGTGCTGGCCGACAACCAGCAGTGGGCAGCCTGCTCCTGCTCCCTCACCTGCACTTGGAGAAGAAGGGCCTGGTATCTGGACGTCAGCTGGGTGGCCTGGCAGCCCAGCTGGCTGCTCACATGGCGCTCGTCCAGGATCTCCTGGGCTCTGGCTCCCACGTCCTCCACTTCGTCTCTGTAGGTGGTAATCTCTTCGTGCCACTTCTGAAATGACGTCAATATTGCAGGGAAAGGTTTAATCTTAAGCATTGTTGAGGAAGACAAATATAGGTACCTTCTTAATAGGAAATGATTCCAGTGTACATTTAGAATATATTTATTCTGAGATATAATTTTGAAAATATGTACTTAACCTTCATAAGAAAAGTGTACTACAACAATGTGATAAAAACTACACACTCATGATTGAGGCACTTTTCTGTATGTATTACACTTCAGTTCAAGAAATATATAAAATTGTACATAGATACAACTGTATTAATCGGGAATGATTCCACTGTATGTTTAGAATATATTTATTCTGAGATGTAATTTTGAAAATGTGTCATATATAACGTTTATGAAAAATATAATAACATGATAAAAGCTATACTCTGAGTTTAAGTACTTCTCTGTACATATTACACTTCTGCTCAAAATTGTTAAAGCAGAGTGGCATACATTTTTATATCTTCTGTTGTACTTGGACACATTTTAAAATAGGTGAATAATGAAAAACATCCTGAAGGCCTAAGCATTTTTTTGATCATCATGTGCACCAGATTTGCATAAAAATCAGAATAAACTAAATACCAAGTATTATTTTAATGCACTATATTGGAATAATTTCATATCAGAACCATAAACTCAAATGGATTGCAATACTAGCATTTATATATCTTTACAAAGCAAGGTAATAGGGCGTGAGGAGCAGATATAAAATATTTCATTAAGTTATATTTTATTAAAGACTCATTTGGGACTCTATTCATAACTGGTGTTAGAATGCCCCATTGTAATTTACATTAACTTTCTTTTCAAGCAGAAGATTTTGCAAAATCTAAACCTGTGGCGGAAAAGAAGTGACCACATATCTTAATGAAACCCTCTCTGCAAAGCAACTGCTACTTCGAGCCAGATCAGGAACCTGAGCTCACTTACCTTCATCTGATGTAACTGCGCCTCCTTGGCTGCCCGGTTGGACTGACGACCAGCCCTGAGACTCACTTTCTCCTCCAGGGTTCTCAGCCACCCGTCCACCTGCTGGAACTTCTGTTCCATCAGCCTCAGCTTGTTGACGACATTATTGAACTGCGTCCGGGTCTCGGACAGTCTCTGCTGGTGAGCCTGCCACTCCTGCCGGAGAGACTCCAAGGCCCGGTCCTCCGTCTGGGGGAGGCCCGAGGGGATCACTTCCTCTCGGGTGTGCAGCACCGAGTTCAGCAGCGCCTGCCCCTCGGCGCAGTGCACCTGCAGCTCCTGCAGGGGAGAGGCATTCACATGGCACACCTGCACAGCCTATCGAGGCTCACCGAGCCACCCGTGCCAC